GGATTATCAAAAGGTTAAGACCATCCCTTGCTGTGATGTTGCTAAAACTACTGCATTAAGCCCTTTTTTTTCCTGTCACATGTTAATTCAATATGAAAGGAAATCATATTAATAAATCTTTGGCTAATACAATTGAAAATTCTTTTTCATGTATATCCAGTTGAAATTTTTTTCATTTTTCTGAGAAATGAAATATTTTTAGGGTTTTCACTCAGAGGCCATTAACGTTTCTTCCTGTCTCTTGTCGAATTGATGTAGGTCATAATGATTACGGTTATCAGCAACCGTCGTATCCTGAACAAGGCTACGATAGGCCTTATGAGGATTCCTCACAACATTACTACGAAGGAGGTATCTATATACCTTCACACACATACGCACATACATTCCCTTTCCCCCCCACCCGCAACGGGAACAAAAATTCTTGCACAACACAACTTATACCCATGCAAAGCTCTTGTAGAATACTAGTTGCTGGCTGTCTTGAAAATTGCAGGGAACTTGAAGCGTTCAGAATAATTTCTTGCAAACACCTAAAATATATAACCACAATTTGCCATTTCTAACAACAGTAAAATGACTAAAACACTCTTAGAGTTTTTTTTTTACCTCAATGGAAGTTTTTATTTAAACATAAATTTGTTGGTTCAGTTGTATATCTTTGTGTGTGTATATATTTTGTATAATTATAGTGCCGTTAGGAAACAGCTTGCTGATCTTGTGTAGCTAGTCTGTGCTCTTGTAGCTGTCCTTAATTTTGTCTTTTTTAATTTTATTTAGCATAGTCATGATCTTATGACTGTGATGTTCCAGTAAATGTAATGCTCGTTTGGCAGAGATGCTGAAAATGCTGCAGTTCAACTTTGCAAAATTGGCTTTAACTGCAGTTTGTTTGGCCGAATTCCTTCTGTTTGGTTTGTTTTTTCTTTGTTTTGTTCAGTTTTTGAAATCAATATTGCATTTTCATTTTGTTCTTGTGTTGTTGGCTGTGCATCTTAGAAGGAAAAAAATTAATAAAGTAGGTATCTCTATAAGTTTTTGCTTTCTTGCAATCATCTTACAGGAAACTCACAATATGGTCAGCAGCAAGATGCATATCAAGGACCACCCCAGCAGCAGGGTTACCCACCACAACAGCAGCAATATCCAGGCCAACAAGGCTATCCAGGACAACAGCAGGGTTATGGTAAGAACCTGAGGACACAGACAGCAATGACAGATAAGACTAAGAGAGATCCTTGTATGTAATTCCATCCCAGTTTTACTGGGTTGAAAGGCCAGGCTTCTGCCAAAAAGCTGTATGCCTGCAATTTCACTGGGTCAAAACAAGAAGACTAGAAGACGGCGTATTTTGGGTTGTAGATCTGTTGGCAGTCTAGGACGATGATCTGTTGGCAGTCTAGGACAATGTGGTAGCACATAAAACCAAAGGTGACAACATTATAACAGGTGACTGTAATTTAGAAAGACCCAGAAAGAATCTGCTATTTTCTGTCCTCTGTAGGTAGACACAGTCAGGAGGGCATAAAGATAGCAAAGAGCCATTTATACCCTTTCATCCTTGGATTTGCCATTTAGAACAAAATTTTTTAAAAACTAGTTTAAAATTTAATCTAACATCTATGAATCATTCATTTAAAATTCTTGTACTAATCAGTAAGGAAATGAATATAAGTATTGCCAATGCAGCTTCCAAGAGAGTTTGTCTTAGAAATTTGCACTAGTAGTGCAAACCTTCTGATTTATGGTAGGAATGAGAAATCCTCTGCCACAAGTGAGATAACGTAGTCCTTGGATTCAAGGAAAACCTCCCACACAAGAAACTTAAAAAGTAGTAGGATGTAGTTTTTGTGCATTACTTCTGAAAACTTGAGGTCAGAAGAGCATACTGAAAATACTGCTTTTAAGTTTTACTTGTTTGCATATTGTAAAGCTGTACATCTTTATCTCAGAAGAAAATCTAAAATCTAGTTCCGTATATTTTAACTTTTAGCTTTGTTGCAAGTTTAAGTGCTAAAACTTTCAGCATTATCTGTATGTGAGGAAGTGCATGGCTGACTTGTTTGCCATGTGGATAAATGCCAGATTTGCATTAGATCCAGTTATGTTGAGACAAAGTTTTAAGAGGATCCACTGACATTTAGCAAGTTTTCTCATTTTGGAGGTTATGGATTAATTGATAGTTCTAAAATACTATTCATGTACTTACATTCTTCTAAACGTAATATAGGAACAGAATGAAGATCAGAGTGAAGGTCCATCTAGCTCACTATTCTAAGTTTTGAAAATAAAGAAATAAAATCTGACTTACTCTGAGAATTTAGGTTAAGAAATACTTGAGGAAGGGGATGAAGAAATCTGGCTTACCCACCGTAATTTGTAAACCCAAGTAGCACACTTCTCAATTTCTATTTTCTTAGCAGAAATAGATACTGAAGTTCCATTTTATTTTATAAAATCTGTCACTGAATATTTAGATTTCAACTATGAAGAATTACCATGAATAAATAAAACCAAGTTTCATTTGTCAGGTGAACACAGCATTCTTTAGGATGTAGTATCGTTGCTCAATTTGATATGTAATTGCTCTCTAATTTGCAAAAATAAATCAGCATCCCAGTCATTATTACTATTATCAATCTTTTAAGGTTTTGTTCCACTGTAGAAAGCTGAAATTGCATAGTTCAAGGGAACTTGAAGCCTGAGGAGAATGATGATAGCCTATGGAGTTTTTCTTCTCCAGGTCATCTTTTTTGGTTGTCTCATAGATCCAGAATTAGTGAAAGAGTTACCAGCTGATGTCATCTTAATGTCCAGTGCCTGTAGATAAAACTAGCCCTCTCTAGCACTGAACCACATTTATGCTAAAACACATCTGTTTCTTCGGGGGTGGGAAGTGTTGGTTTGTTTAAAAGAAAGTACTTCTGAAGAGTTGCAAATCTTCCTGACTGCCAATTTTTAAGGGGTGCTGTTGAAAAAGCTAACTCAGATCCGCTGCAAACGATACATACGGAGTGTCACCGAAATAAGCAGTACACCATCTCTCCCAAGGTAGGAGGGGATGAGGATGATTTTGTTTTGAACGTGTCTGCACTGTCTGGCAGAAATGTGCAGCTTCCAGTAGTAGACAGGCTGAGTCCCTGCAAATAGTGACGGAAAGAGTTTGTATTGACAAAAGAGCTGCCTCCTTTTACAGCCAAAAAAGGCTGTAGCCAAAGTGGTTTGGGTTTTTTTCCTATCCTTTTCCTGGAAAGATGACCAGAGGAGTATGGAGTAGGGAGTGCTGTTTTTCCATCCCACAACAGCATTTACTTGTTGTCACATCTCACATTTCATGCATGTAACTTGTTTGCCTGACATTCCATTTATGATTGCCTGCTGTGGTGTGAGAACTGACTTTCTGGCAGTGCAGCACTGCTGGTCTCTTCAAAAGGTCTAAATGCTAAATACAGCTGATCATCTGCCTGCTTCTGGCATTACAAAGTTCAGGAACTGGAGCAGCATACAGCAGGAGGAGAGTGTGTCTCCCAAAATCCTGGAAAGTGCCATGTTTATGATTTGGTGTTTCTTGCCTTGTTCTTCCCTGTCCTGTGACCTCATGTGTGGAACTACATGCATTGATAATAATTAATGAATATATGAGTAACGGTGAATGTTTCTGGGGTTGGAGCACAGGCCCTGTCAGTTAAGGTGCTTTTCAGGATGAGAGGAGGACCACTGATCCCTGGTATGTTTTTACGTAGGAAAAAACCTAATTGCACAGTAGTGATACTTCTTAACCCTGCTCAGTTGTGTAATTCAGTGCTTTTACTGTTCTCTTCTTCCTAACACCTTAAGCAATCTTTTTTTTTTCTTTCATTTACGTTTTAATGGTCTCCAGGCCCCTCCCAAAGTGGTCCAGGACCTCAGTATCCCAATTATCCACAAGGACAAGGCCAGCAGTATGGGGGATACAGACCCACACAGCCTGGGCCACCACAGCCACCACAGCAGAGGCCTTACGGATATGACCAGGTATTCTTTCATTTGATGAGAAAGTTGTGATTCTTACACACTCATTTGATAATCTCAGTTTCTTGTGGACATTTAAACTAATGAATTTGGGGACATCGTCTCAGGTGTGTATATATGATTTTAATGGACTTTCTTGCCAGGTGAGTTTCCCAGAATCATTTGTCTGGAGGTGTGATTAGTCATTCTCTTCTGAGTTTGCAAAGTTTAAATACAATTTGTCACAGTGAGGCATGCCAGGCAATACTTTTGGACCTTAAAAATTAAGGTGATCTGTTTCATAACCTCATGGTGAATGACTTAAGATAAAAAGCGAGGTTCCTGAATCTCATGGCGGATCATTTTTCATGTCTGCTTTGCAATAAAAATTGTTGAATTGATTTCCACAAACACAAATACAGTAATTCTCCTCTTCAGTTGCAGAACCACCTCAGGTGTGCAACTGAAGTCCCTCTACTGTAGAGCTCTTTGGGGAGACATGAAGCTTAATTTTGCATAGGTTTTCTGAGTGGTATAAAGGAGCGCTGACCATGAGAAAGAAGTGACCTGAAAAATCAATTGCTTCATTTCTGTCGCTACTAAGATAAGTTTAAAACAAGCAAACAAACAAGAACCACTGAAACTCTAGGCTGGAGTTGTAGTGGAGGACTCCTGTTAAAAAAAAAACAACAACAAAAAAACCACAAACAAACAAACAAACAAAAAACCCCCTGTTTTCTAGTTAAAGGATGAAGTGGAGGTTTTATTCCTGTAGAAGGTACTAAACTGTAAAAACCTAATCTTTGCAATATGAATCAGTCAGAAGTGTCATTAAAACGTACGCTGTTACTTTCCTCGGCATAAATAAAATGGAGAGTAACTAAATATACCTTATGATCTAGTTGAAGTTCCAATGTTTAAATAAAATCCTGGTAAGTCAGTAGAAGATCAGTTGAACTTTCCCTTGAAAGTGAGAATAGCTGCAATTGCCCGCATTTTTAAAGAACAGTTGGCTTCCTTTCTAAACAGAAATTAGAAAAGACAAGGAAAAAGGAACAAACTCTTTCAGAGTGGTAGTTCAGAGATGCAATTACTTCTGATTATTTAGTAGATAAACAAAACGCTCATGCACTGAACTAATAGCTTCCTCCTGCAAATAATAAGCTACAAGAAAATGCTTTGCTTGTGGCGAATGTAGGAAACTTAATCTCAAGGAAACTTAATCTCAATTTGCTGAGCTTCTTCCAACTTTCTTTGCAGTAGAAGTGGATAACCCTCTTGGTAGATAGGCTCTGCTCCTCCAGTTCATGCAATCTAACTTCAACTGGGAAACTCAATTATAGAAGACCTCTCCACTCTTTCATACTAGCCATTCCCCTAGGAATTGTGCTGCTTAAATTCTTATCTGGCAGCTGTTCTTAAACTCTTCTTCCTGGCTGATTGTCAAATTACAATGGAAAAAAACTGGATACTGCAATGTAAAACTAGAATTTAAAATACTGACGTATCATGATGGTACTTAACATGGTATGGTGGTGGGACTGCAGTTTGGAAAATGTTCACAATTGCACACTACTTGTTTATGCAAGCCTTGAACTCAGCAGTGAAGCTATATGGTATGCATGTATCATTGATGCTTTCACCTCTGTGCTCTGCAGTACATCATGTTCTAAGAACATGAATAGAAAATTCAGAAAAATTTAGAAAATAAGAAAATTATGGTCAAAGAAAATAGAGCATATCAATAAGGGTAATAATTCTATGTATCAGATCTATGGAATAATTGATTCCCATAGGATGTGTTGACTAGTTCTTTATGTTCACCAGGATGTGCCTTGATTTTTGAGATACATGTATCAGTCCATTCTGTGATGCTTGATGTATGAATATTTTTAGGTATCACTGAAAGCAGGTTAGCTTCCTAAATGACTTAGAATTTAGGTGACCTTGTCTTTTTGAATTTTTTTTTAAAGTTTGGGTGGGAAGTAATTCCCATCTTTTATTTTTGAAAGTGTTCTGCAGATTTCACAGTAGCCTACACTCTTCTGATCAAATTAGATTCCTGGCTTTAAATCCGTACCTTCTCCGTATCGGTCTTACTTTTACATTAGAACACAAAGGCTTTTTGGTGAGATGAAACTGTCCTACTTACTCATATTGATTTATTGTTTATTGTTATTTGCTTCCACCTTTTAACGTCGTAGTTTATTTGGGTGGTCTTCTGATTTTGGCTTTTAATACAGGAAAATATGCCTTGTGGTCTAATTATGTGTTTTGAATTTCTTTCTTAGGGTCAGTATGGAAATTATCAGCAGTGAAAAAGTACTCACATTCCGGTAGGCAATATCTATTAGCAGCCATATTGTCTCCTCAGCACTGTGGACATCTTCCTGAGATGCCAACCTCCCATTCCATCTAGCTTTTGGAAAAATCTTGTGGCTGTTTTATGGTATACAGTCTTTATGGGTTAATTGTTAAAGACTGTAGATTCTCAGAAACTGATTTCACATCTCTACTCTAGATGGCAATATTGGACAGAAAATACGTGACAACAATTTGCAGTGAGTTAAGAACTGTATGTCAGATAGACTGTTACAGACTGAAAGGTGCAAACAGCTTTGTATGTTTATGAAGGTTATGGGAATTTAATATTTTTTCCACAGATTTTTTTAGTAGGGGGAAAGGGGATATGCACACTTTTTACAGCAGCAATATTTTGTATATTAAGTTTTTCATGTGGTGAATATGCAAGACAGTACACTACTCACCGGGCAGGATAAGAAATCTACTGTTAAAAATGGGTTGGGGCATGATAAGTGCTTGATTGTATAAATCTTGAAATGGTGTACAACAAAGATAACTGAAAAAAGATGGAGAGCATCATACATCACTGATAGGTTCATGTACAAAGAATAAGAGTCCCAGTTATCTAAAATGGGAACATAATTAAGGACAGCATAATATAGTCTTGTGCAAAGATTAATTTTTTTAAGCTTTCCAATTTTTCTGAGTGAAGCATTTTTGTAAAAATTGTTTCTAACATAGTTTGACAATTTTCTGCAACATTTTTTGGGTAACAAGATAATAGTTTGGGTTTTACTTCTCCAGTGTTTTGTCACAGCTTTGCATAAGCAAGCTGTAATCCCTCTTAATAATTGCAATAACAAAGAAAATGACAAGTGTTAATTTTACTTGGCTTGAATATGCAAAGAACTTGAAAAGGAATACGGAGGACAGGACTGTATTGTATAAGTATATTTTAACCTTTAGTTGAATAATTTGTATGTATCAAAATAGCCTAGAAGACTTTGTAAAACCTATCTAAACTTTCCTAACTGGGAGTTTATATCTTTAGAAAGGGGGCATTTTTTATGTGTGTCCATTTTTCTTATGGGTTAACAGGAGACCAAGGGATGTTTTATAACATCAAATATAAAACCTGTTGGTGAGGTAAATGCCAAATTTTGTTTGGAACTGCATTAATGCTTATAGTGTTGCATGTGAGATAGAGGCAGCACCTTGATCAATAGCATAGTACACAAAAAACCAATCTGTTTTGAGACTATCCTGCAACTGTGTATCAGATAAATGGGTGTTCTGTTGTGCGGGAATATATGCATTCAAGAATTTCTGGCAACTTTTATAAAGGATAAAAATTAAAATAAGCCCGGGGTAAAATAATATTTTTTTTTTTTTCAGTTGGTGATCATGGGGGCGGGAATAAAACTAAAATAACTGGTATTCATAATCCTTATGACATTTTACGTGGAGGACAAGATTTTCCATTTGTTCATCACTCTTAAAGGGAAAACAATTTTCTTAAAGTTGATAGAAAATACACATCAAGGTTTGAACAGACAGGGCATGAGGAACATCATTATGAATGAAATGCTTGTAGGTTCTGTGCCAATTTTCCACCACCGTGTACTTCATTGCTATTTAAAACTGTACTCCATCAATTCTAACGGAAGAATAAATTATTTGTGATTTTAATTTTCTCATTTGTTTCTTTAAATTAGATCCCTATCACTCTGATGTCTCATCTGGAGACTCTGCTGTGGGTTTTTATTTTATAGAAGTTTGGCCAGAATAACCAACCTGTATTTGCATGCTAGGACTTTATCAAAATTCTCTTGCCATAGCCAAGTTAATTAGAATTAACTGTTCAGTAATCAGCATGTTGTGTAGGTTGTTTGTTACAAAATTCTTCCTCTGAAAATGAAGGTCCATGAGGCTATAATCAAGATGACTGAATTAGATAAATGAGTTGAGGAGGCAAAAATGTGTTGAACCCAACCTGGTGTAGATATGTTATCTCATTTGAAATAAGCTCAACTGACATTAAGAAATAATTTGTCTTGCCAGCCCATCTTCTGTTGTCTTATTCTCCTTTTTAATGGAAACTAAAATTGCAATTTTAATAAGCAGAATTTCCTCCAGGGTTTCCCTCCTAGAGACTACTGCATTTGCAAGGTTTAATTGTTTTATAACGGTCCTGTTTCGTAAAACTTTTTAATTGGTGGTGACAAAAATTACCTTATTCCTCTGATACTATGCTAGAAGAACAACTTGAGAGGAGATAGCTCCATGCAAAAGTATTTCTACTAAAATTATGTGTTAAAAAAGAACCAAGTTTTCCCTAAACAAAAACAAAGCATTACAGGACCAGGATGAAATAGCAAGATCCAAGGTTCATTTTAGTAAATGTTCTTTATTAAATGAAATTCAACCAATAGGAAACTAATAAAAGAAGTGTTACACTTGGCATTTTACATGTAGAACGTAGAAAATAAGACCTAAGAGGGGGACTGACATAGCAAACCAAATACATGAACAGAAACGATACAAATCTTCAAAGACTGAAGAGGAGTTAATGAATCAAGTGACTTTTAGTTATCATAGCACTATGATTTTTGCCGTCATATTTTGTTCTTCCTTTTCAGAGGGTTTTATTTCCCTGTCTATTCTGGGAATGACTCGCAAAAGGGAGAAGCTGGCTCACTGTTTCAAAGGAAATTGACTTCACAATGTTGTAACATAAGTATGCAAACATGCCACTTTATAGAGCAGGACAAATATATCTTTTTGCAAATAATCCTGCTTTTGTTTCCATATCTAAAATTACTTAAATTTTTGAAGTAATTGATTTTTTTCAGAAAATACTCCTGATTAAAGAGGGGCAAGGACTTCAGTGCAAAAATATCATTGTACATTGTACTTCTACAGTTCTTACCACAGAGAATGCTGAAACATTTTAATGTGATTTAAAATAAAAATCAGATTTTACATTCCAAAAAAGGAGAGAATACTTAAATTTACAAAATGAAGAGAAATTGTTACATCAGCAAGTCCAGGAATTCAGCCAGAAGCACTGAAGAAGTTTTAAAAGAAAGTAGCTGATTTTCCTACATGCTGTTGCTGTGTCATAAAATAGAAGCATAAGGGTGAAATCCTATGAAATGAACCCAAACAAACCTTCTGAAGTGAATAGTTAAGTGGATGAAGTAGTAAGTTAGATTTTAAAAAGGGAAAAAATTAAATATGTTTGTTTAAAAAAAAAGATGAAAACATGCCCCTTAATCTGCTAGAATTACTGTAAAAGATGATAGCACAATCTGGTGGAATTGATCTTTATTTGTATGTTCACAAAGCCTGAAGTTCTTTGAGAAGCTGCTACCATAAAAATAAAGCATTCAGTAAGGTGGACTGTGAAGCACTGGAAATTAGGTAAGTTGTGGGGAAAAGAGGAATAAATGCTAAATACAAAAAATGGAGACTGATAACAAATTATGCCAGAGCTCTATTGGGACTACCAACTAACACCAAATAAACTGGTGGAAAGAATACATGTTCTGGTAGCAGAATGAGGTGGAAATGGTGCTATTTAGATTATGCAGAACTTAAAACTTTGTGGCAATGCAGTGGACCATAGCAGAAGTTGAGATATGGCTGATGTTTACAAATACAACAAATGGGTAATACCATTACGAATACCCAATGGGTAATACCCAATGATCAACTGTCAGGAGCAATTCTGTGGCTAGTGCAGTAAAACTGTTCGGTGGGTATCGGAAGTCACAGTGCCACCAAAATGTTTAAAAACACTTAACAAAGTACTGTAATGCTGACCAGAGTTTTATCAATACTCTGAATTACTGTTTTAATCCTTGTATCCATATCAAAAAAAGATAGCTCGGGTAAAAGGTAAGTGGGTAATGAGTGGTCAAGAGCAAAAGAAGTATGTTTGGGGTTCTTTATTTTGGAAGTCGGTGCGTATAAACCAGTGGTACGTAACAGACAAGTGCAATTTTTGCAAGGATATGGGCAACATGATGGAAATTAAAGGCAACACCTTTAAAATCGATAACAGGAAATGCTTTTTACACCATGCACAACTGCAAAATCAGGCCTCAAGATACTATTGAAACCAGGGGCTTTGTAGGATTAAAAAAAAATTGAATATATATATGAGAACATGCACAGTTACATTAGATTGGATGAAACAGTTTATTTTGAAAGGGTGTAAAACCTCATGCTTCACAGCTTTATGCAACGAGCTGTATGCTGTAGTTGGGAAGATAACTGTTGGTGCCTTGACAGTAAATACTGGGAGTATTTTTACATTTCTTTTTAATATAACTTTTAGAACCTCACTCTGCAAAACCTGGAAGGAGGCATTATTAGCAGCAGACTGTTCGTTTAGGTTGCAGAACTAAACCGAAATGTAGATCTGAACTGGAGTGGCAGTGTTTGGTCAGAATTTTGCTCCCCCTTCCACCAAAAAAAAAATATATCACCCAAATAGTATAAATAGTGAAAGACTTATGTTTCAAGCTATCAAGATGCTGGATGCTTTCACGCAATTCTCAAATAAGCTTCCCATGATGCAGTTTTTCAAGAAGAATTGAGTAATCTAGCAGAATGCATGATTTTCCTATACCTGAGATCTGATCATTTTAGAAGAGGAGGTTTTTTTATAGATAATGTTTTCTAATTTTCACTTATGATTCTTCCTTTAAGAAATGGAAGTCATTCAGTGTGTCAGTGACTGCATATTTACACCTCAGGGTTCTGGTGGGGAAGAGCTGTGGGGCTGGGAAGGGAGCTGCTGGAATAGCCTGTGAACTCCTCAGAGCACTGCGTTATGTTCACTTGCCTTGATGCTTTTTAAACAAACGGCATAGGTGAATTGCTCCTGCATTTTGCTTCATAATTTTCATTTTATCTAAAAGTTAATTTTATACAGCATAAATTCTAATCACCTACTGCAGTTGGTGTTGCCAGAAGTGTGCTGGCATCTTGACACAGGTCCATTACAGATAGTTTTGTAGAAAAATGCCATTTGTTAGGGCAGGCTTAGTAGAAATACACATTTTGTTTTTACGAAATTAAGTTATATCGATTGTACCTCCTGGCTGTTTTTTAGCAACCTTCAAATCAAGTAAAGACTTTTTAGTCTCCAGTATTAAGTTGCCTTCATTACATTTTCCCAGCAATAACTTTTCTCAGCCCAGAGCCTTTAGACTTCCTTTCTGCAGGGCTACAATATAAACAAGTGCCACAGTTCTTAGAGTTTAAATACTGATTATGGCCTTACTTGTTAAGATAGTTTCTTGGCAAGTTGATACGGTGTCAATCTTAAAGGTTAATGATCTGTATATATATATACACTTTTTTTTTTTTTTTCCCCTCTCCACAGCAATCGTACAGATAATTCAGAGCTAGCTGTTCTTATTTGAGTACCCAGGTAACTACACCTATCTGTTTGCTCCCAAGGCTCTTTCCAGCTTGGATAAAAGGTTTGCCTTCTATCATGAAATATCTTATTTAGAAACCTCTGCTAGGGGAAAAGGGTTCTGCTTATAAGTGCTGGAGTTTTTAATTTCTTAAGCCCAGAGAGCCTGCCCATCTGAGTACGACAAAGTATTTGCTAGCTTCACACTGGTTTCAGATTTATCACCTGTTTCAGTATCCATGTAGGCTCAGGAGAGGTGAGAACATTGCAAAACTGAGGCAGGCGTGAAGGTTTCTGTTGTATCCTCCAAAGTTTTTGGCTCATGGCAAGTGGTTGATTTTAGGACCGTAAGTAGGTGCTTGATGGGTACCAGGATATCTGTAGCCGCTACAAGTACCTTGTGTGCGTGCTGACATGTCTAACGGAGCCTGGTGTTCATTGGTGCTTGTTAAGACCATCGTTATGATGTCACTATAAAGATAGCACTGACTATTATTACCTCAGAAAGCTTAGTTCTATATGGCCTGTTATTATTTGCCCTTCGATTTCACTATTTCGTGTTTTCCTGCTCTCTGGCAGCAAACAAGGCAGGCAGAAAACCAGGCATCTTCTGTGAGACCAACAACTCTGCTGTGAAAGAAGCAAAGAACATGGAGATGAATGCATTTGCCTGCCTCGGTAGTTTTGCCTGTTGAGAGCATTTAAAATGTGGTAGACCTGAGGTCTGTGGGCCAAGCACAGCAGAGGTGACCTGCTGACTGAGTTTTTTTGATACTCCACCCTATTATCATCATTTAAGTGACCACTGGCAGCTGGTCACCATTTGAATGAATACTCGGCAGTATGTCTGCACAACCAATTTGTATAGTTTTTTTGAAGCGGGCGAGTGGGCCAAAGCACCTTTTGTTGAGCTGCCTCTGTTTCTACTGAGAGTTGTTTCAGGAGGATGCTTGCAGGGTGTCATGCTGGCTGATGC